GAAAGAGCAAAGACCCTAGCAACTCTGACAACTATAGGCCTATCTCCATCACAAACATGTTGGCAATGTAAGTTATCCTGCAGATCAATGGCTCCAGGTCTTCACCGAGGGGTCATACGTAGAAACCAAGCAAACTTTGAACTATGCTCTTTCTTCACAGCAGAGGGACAAAATAGATCCGTATTAGAAGGAGAAATTGAACCATTAAGATAACACTGCTGCCAGGATACCAAATTCACCAAAGCCGTAATTCCTTCGAACTCACAGTCAACAATAAATTCAATTGGAAACAGAGAGCCACCCAAGACAGTCGATATATACGAATGTAAAAAACCGTATCAGTTATTGAGAGGAAAAGCAAAAGAGTAGTTCTTCAATGGATCCGTGGACACTGGCTTTGTAGGCAATGAGCGCGCTGACACACTTGCTTAGAAGGGGGATACGATATATATATATATATGCATTAATTAATAATAATCAAAAGGTTAAGAGAATCCTGTTCCCTTAGCACTAGCTGCTCCTCTTAAGTAAATAAAGTTAATTTTGGTTCACGTTGAAATGCGGACATATTAATGAAGTGGATTTCTATCTGACCGCTTTGATTAGTGGAGGTTTACTCCGCAGAAATGACCTAATTGTGGTGATTACCTAGTACGGCAAATTCGAAACACCGATTGTAAGTGAGTTGCTTGAATAACTTTCGAGCTCAATGAGGAAGGTAATATGATCAAACCAAGTGGCAAATTATTAATATATTACAAAGAAACTAGTGGTTTGAGCATTCAAAGAGAACTCACACTTGGCATAAGTCCGTATTGACAAATGAATCCGATTAAAGGAGAGGCTGGCCGCTTCAGATGGTGCCAAATTAGCTTTAATTCCAGTTCGCAACCCATAACTAGAGTTAGGCCACATACCATGGTAGCAACAAAGACTCGAAAGACCGTTTCAATTACGCCCCTTGGTCGAAGGATTTTCAAATGAATTCCAAGGGATACTGGATCAGTTTCGTTTTCGTAGATTGCTTTTCCTCCAACCAACCATCGTGTATATTCCTCAACCTGGAGCGAATTAGTCTTATCGAAAGCATGGACTAATTTCTGATCTCCTCCTCCCAAAGCTTTTCTGATCCAGATGTTTAGGTAAACACTTCCCATGCGTTGACGGAGAATACTGATTTTGAAAGTTCTGGAAACGTCTCCAACATCTTGATAGACCCAAAATGGTGGATCAAGTTTGGCGAGAGCATGAATGTCTGTGTCAAAAGAAATTGATAATGGTGTGTTAGTATGTCCGGTTAAATTGCAAGTGAGGTAATATGGTGTGACGGGGTCTTGAAAGAAGGTTAAATTCTTCTTTAAACAGGTGAACTTGAACCGATATGCTTCTGTTGCTGTTGAACTGGTAGTGTAGTTGGAATCCCATTGCTTCTTAGCCTCTGTGTCAACTCGAATTCGATCAAGTTGAACTCGATTATTAGTAACTAGTCCACCAATTGTTTCTGTGGCTTCAAGAGGGGAAAAGCTGATGGCTTGTCCAAGAAAGATGAAGAAAATAAATGACATTGGAGTTGCCATTTCAGCTGCTCTTGATAGCATGCCACTGTGATGTTTGTGTTTATGTGTAGAGGTTGGGGTGCTGTCAAACTTAAATTCTCGTCAGTGAAATCAATGTGCACTCATCCCGCATCCAATGAAACTCGCGCGCGTTAAAAGAATCAGGACTTGAAAACCTATTGTGACATTTAGCATTTCAACAAACTCCCCACACATTCCTCTCTTTCATATAGCTCAAAATGGTATAATAATTAAAGTTCTGCTTTTTTCATATCTTTCTGGTCCTTAAATTTTAATAATTCTAATTTCGGTAACGGGAAAACTGTAATCTGGAAAGAAAATTAATTTCAATGACTTAATTTAGGGCTGAAGAGACAGGCTTGTGTAATTGAACTCGGTTTAATTAAGGAATTGTGTATTTAATAGAAGTGATGAAATTATTGAAAAATTTGCCTACTCTTTTCATATTGATTTATTCAGTATTGACAAATTTATACTGTCGTCGTAAGCTGAAGTCGAAGTATGAAAGGCCACTCATTTGCTTCCCCTTTTGAAGAGTCCATCTTTGTTACTTGCTATGTTTACGGGCGCATTTAGGCAGAGCATAAACCTTTCCGATTTTCTGTCATTGGAAAACGCACGAAATCGTGCATCTATGGAGTTAAATAGAAGATGAAGTTTATTGAATAAAATGGCTGGTTAGGGGGAGTGGGGGGGGGAGGTATTCCATTTGATTTTGTCCTTGAGATCGTAAAGGATTGGCCTAATTGACATTTCAATGTTCAAATTCAACATTTCCTCAATAAATTAGGGAGCACACTTCCCATTATAATACCCTTTCCTAGCCTGTTTCTTAAATTGCTCAAATCAATCACGTGTGTATTAGGGCAAAACTAGTCAGTGTGCGTAGAATGTTCTAGAATTAAAACTCACAGACAATTGTTATCAGTGTCTTCGATTCCTATGCATGCTCCCTATAAATTCACTTATTTAACTTAACCAAACCAGAAATTGGTTATCACCATTAAGTATGTGGATATAACCAGTAATTACAGACAAATCTACCATTTCTATGATCTAACGTAAAAGAACCAATTGGAAAATATTAAATGCCGTTGTGTTCAAGGGTATTTCCGTCCAAAAGTGAAATCAGAAGTAGCCGTAAATGTTTTGCTTTTATCTATTTCATTCATAGATGCTGATTTAATTGCTACATATTTAAAATGCGAAAACTGTGAACTTATGAATGTGCGCTATGAATACCATTTCTGTGAAGAAAGTCTCTACTCGCTGTGAAAGCACAACACTGTTTCCCCTTGAGTATACAATGCTCTTATCGAGAAAACGAGCGCTCATAAATCTGCAGCTTATTAGCAATGTAAACAACAATGCACGCCACAACCCCATACCCATCGATGTTTACATTTATTCAGGTCAATCGCACCGTCTTGTAGTTTTCTATTTGATGTTCACGCGATGGAACAGATAGCAATGCAAACAAGGCTCTCCCTTGAACACTAACACCCAATTTATGGACAGTTCTCGGATCTAAGCGACAGGGGTATCTAGACGCCAAGTCAAGCAATGCTTCAGCATCACTGGGTTTGAGCATATGGATGATGTCCTGAATTTTCTCTTCTGAAAATCCACATTCTCCTATTCCAGTGTTGTCCAATGTTTTATGTCAACCATCTCGCAGTATGTCACCCAATGAGTATGGATTCATTGAGATCTTACTCGACAAGTGTGCACAATCATCACAACATTGTAATCTTGGTCTTAGAGGATTGAGTAGGATTTGGAAACTCTTTTCATCAGGTGTGTGGAAAACCCCTATCAAAATTGCTAGTAATGGCATTATCAGTTAATGCACGTCGACAGAACCTCGGCAATGCAAGTCTCTTCTGGATACATTGCTCCATCTTCTTTTCCGTGTATTCGAATCCACAATTCATCACGAAAAGTTAACATATGAAACTCACAACTCAAAACTGAATACCACCCTGAATTACAGCCTAGATCTAATCCAGTTGTCTAATTCTAGACTCCCAACCAAAGCTAGGTGGTTTTCGGTCATTTAAGCTGTCGTACATTGCAGCACTTTGTAGAAACACAAAAATGTGTTAAAAAGTGGGAAATAAATCCAATTTCTGTCGTATCTGCTTTCTCGATCGAACATGACTTGTGAAGAAGTGGCTTTCTCAAACGTTGACCGAGGTCTATTCACCAAGTGAGTGGTTATATACATTTTTATAAACGTGCCAATAACTGACCTCATAAATTGCCATTCATTGCCTCTCCACCCTCTATCTCTCCTTAATTCCTTCAATGGGTTCGCACGTCAGGATATTGTAATTCTGCATAGCCGCGAATATTCTCTCGCTCATCAACTGAATTCTCAAAGGTTTACTAGAGCCAATATCAACTACGTTGACTTTGCGAGGAGAGGAATGAGGTGGAACCAATTGTTATGGCTGCTTCCGCAATGTACCCGCATTGCCAATTGCACATTGCTCACACTCTTGCTTCCCGACTGGGCGTCATGGTGATATATAGTTGCTAGATCAAATTATCCTGCCTGTTCTTCTTACTACTGCACCCAAGAGCAGTGTTCATGCCATCTAAATGGTTTGACTGGTCATATTGATTACAGACACTCCTTAATTTTCCACAACACTCTTTCGCCCTCTACACGTGGCTTAGATTTCGTGATGGTTGATCATTAGTGATCCGTGTATCGATATTGCGAACCGAGACGTGGCGAATGCTCACGTTGACTGACGCACATTACTTATCAACTACGCTGAAACCAATTTATCTTGTGCTAATATTCCCCTTCACTAATTTCTACAAACATTAGGCCTCAAGAGCACTCGATTGGCTAAAATTTTATTTAAAAGCAATGAAAATATAACCCTTCACTCCAACGCGGAGAATGAAGCACTTATAAATGTGGCGCAATTTGTTTAACAACGAGAGCAAGATATTTTGACATATTTAACTACGCAGTTTTCTTCACTACATTTTGTTATATTTGAAAGTTAACAGGAGTCAAATATGCCGAGCATATACCTTAATTCCATACTATTCCCTCTGCTCCATTTTTTAACCTTTCAATATTGTAAAAAGATGGGAACAGTTTAATTATATATCGTTATTATTATTTATTATGATATCCATTCTTAATAATTGGCCAAGTAAATTTATGCTACAATTACGCAGTCTCAAGTTTATACTTAATTTCACTTTCGGTTTACTAAGATTACCATGCTTATTCTAGTCTCATTTACAAAATCAAGTGGAGCGTGCGATAGACTTACCTCCTCGTGGTGCACCCTAGACAACGTATACTCATTTGGCAAAAAAGTCTATTAACCGACAGTTGTCTTCTCACTTCAAACTACCAAGACTTCACTCTATGTCATATTTCACCACTTTCACAGTACTCGCCTTACCCTACTCTCGACCTTTGTGTCTGGTTCTTTTTCATCTTTGAAACGCTCTTCTGTTCCCTCCCCGCTCTCGACTTTTTCACCTTGATGTTCCTTCCCCTCTGTGAAGCCTGAAGTCAACTAAAGGACTAATGATAACTATTAAAACGCCCGCCATTTGATATAAATAAATTTACAAAATCAAGTATAAATTTACCGATCAATTTAACTAACTAGTCAACACGTTCAGAATACCAGAATACGGCCATGCACTCCCTCAGACACCCAGTGGTCGGATCGTAAGACTTGACCTCCTGTATATTTAGGTAAGAGTTCAATTCATTGGTTCCAGAATGCAAATTAAGTGAGACTTTTCATATTCTGAACTTTTTGTTTACCTTAACTTCAAGTCTTACTACATTTCTTTCCAATAGTCTAAATATGCGCAAGTGGTAATTTAAATAGTGTGAATCGATCAATGAAAGTGCAACATGATATGATATACGAACTCCGGAATTTTTTCCGAGAGATATCAGAGAGTGACATAATTCCTGAGTGACCTGGAGAGAAATAAATTCAAGAAATTCAGAAGAAAATTTGATGGCAACCTTCAAACACTCGGCTTAAATAAGTTAAGTTAAACAAATTGATAGTGTTTGTAAATAAATCCCAAACGCTAGAGATAATTTTCCCAGTTCACTTAGCGTGCAATGGAAAGGCAATGTACTTTATTTTCAGTTTATTGCATGTATTGAAAATTTACTTATTGGGTGATTTATATAAAATTTTCAAGTTTCATGATCAGGTTTGTTGTTGCTAATCCACATCTTATGCAAAATGAGCATGAGGTGAATAAATGGCTTATTTGGCATTCGAAACATATATATCTAAATATCTACACAGTTTCCTGAGCCATTCGAACGAATCGCAGTGAACGTTAGTTCTGCTCTTGGTGGCTTTTGAATCGGTGTGAGCATATTTTATTATTATAATGATTCGTTCCTCATCTGAACTCGAACAATTTATCTCTGAACCTCTTGCAGTCAAGAGGCCCTTTTAGAAAATACAACTAACTGTGGTCACTTCTCAATCATCCTCTTCAAATAATTCAAGCCATTAGGTGACAACGTCCCTGTAGACTGAGCGCTAAAACCAATCAATTTGATTAATCGATTACTTTTCGCTTGGCCCTGCTACTTCTACCAGATATTGTTGCTATGGCAACAAAGAAAACACACTTGCAAGTTAATAAATATGCGATTCCAACTTTGCACTTAAATTTTTAAATTCCAAATAATTTCAATATTCAAAATATGCGATCATCTACTGAGCTTGCTCTCGAGGGCCTCTGTCATGAACACCTTTACTGGGAAGTAGCAAGCAGTCAGACAATCAATCAAAAGTGCACACCAGAGAAATGACATCAGAAGCGTTTTGTGATGAGCATTCTTTGTTGAAGAGGGTAAAATGGAAAAAATATATTGCCAAAAGTGTGAGTCCATTTTTAGAGTTACGCACGACACGAGAGGTATGATGCAACCCCTTTGTGTAATAATTCGCTTCCTTCTTCTCTTTATCAAAATATGAATTTTTGAGCTTTCCCCAGTCATC